TCTCTGCGTACGATCAACGTATCGAGCATACAATAGACGGTTATACCGTGTGTACTTGTTACTGGCCATTACAAAGCGATGTTTGGAGTGCTGCGAACGACTCCGACTATACGTTCGAAGTGCAGATCGCCTACGGCGCTTCAACTGGCGGAGGCTCCTGTTCGTCCAATGAGGCTTCAGTGGAGGGCGCTGAAGAGACACGTGAGCTTCGATGACTTGACGTATCTCCGTGTTGAAAATACATACAATATCGTCCAGATCCTGATCAGAATCCAAAAATTGCCAATAGATTGATAATAGCGCATCATTCATCGAACTATAATCAGCCCGACGAAAATCGAACCGGCAGTCTTCTAGAGATGGTTCAAATGACACTGGTACCGAAATAGAAACGGTGACGTCAATGGCAGGATGTGGAATATCGATTTCTACGAGCGATTCAGCCGCTTCGGATACGCAACAGCTTGATAACGCTGAGTCATTCACGAGTACTAAATCGAGAATCCGTGAACTGGAGTTCTTCATAGTATTGATTTTTGTCAGACCCTGGAAGCAGAAGGCATCGTTAATCTCGATGTATGGGAATCTATTGTGAGGCCACCATCCTCTGATGGTACCCAGTGCATTTCAGGATGATTATAGTCTCCAAACTGGAAAACAAGGTCGTGAGGCCTCAAGCCGGAAAGGATTGAATCAATGGAGTCAGTATGCTGCTGTATGAGCGACAGGTCGTCTCTGCAATCAGGTGGTAGATAAAGCACTCCAATGCTGACATCATAGTTCTGCAGTTTGATTTTGATCAAAAGCTGCTCGAGAGCATTACTTATCGGAGCTGGATCAATACAGCAACACAATTTAGAATAGACGGCTATCAATACACCTCCACCACGAGTTTTTCGACTGTTCAAAGAGCTACGATCTGTCCCGAACACAGTGTAAGAGTCGTTGAATAATTGAGTAGACAAGATGCAATCGTTCAGCCAAGTCTCAGTTAGCACGATAACATCATATTCCGAGTCAGTTGTAGCTAAGAAGAAAGAATCTATCTTTGTCCGAAGTCCTCGTATATTCTGATAGTAAATGCGAAGCTCGGAAGTTGTTGAGGAAGGATTGTCACAAACTTCTCGTCCGTTCCTATAACACGCACACTTGCGTAATCTCATTTTCAAGTGCGAAGTTTGTTATCCTCACGTTCGTTTCAGCCAAAAAAGTTGGTTTGTTATTATTATCATCACTTTCGGGCCATCAATACTCATTATTTTCTCCATTCATCGAAGTATTATCAAATTAACCCCAAAATAAAAATCTGATGTTCAGTCACAAGCAGTTTTGTAGGCGGTCACCGTAGTCGACGCATTTTCTGTGATAATCGACTGCCTTTGCTTCCGACACTGGTAAACCAAGCTATCAAATTACAGTACCAAACTAAAATGTCATATGACATCGAAGATCGTCACGAATGTATGTATTTTAGTTTTTCTCATAATAAGAGCTGCTGATGTTGTGCTTGTGTGAATTCTGAAAATAGTAACTAGTAAGTAACGATGTCCTAATAACAACATTTTTGATCAGAAATGGTTTAATTTATTCAAAATCGAGGAATTAGAACAAAATCACACATGTCATATGGTAGTTATCTGAAAATTTTATTTTTGCTCGAATATTGCTCTACCGTTCGTGTTGCGTGAGAGAGACGACGGTAGATCATGAGTGTACGAATACAAACAGACTGTCGCGCACGACATCGAAGCGAGTGTAGTAAAAAACGTCAACTGTTTCAACACCTGGTCACAAGACAAAAAAAAAAATTTGCAAATGCAATAATTTTCGTTAAACATATTACTAACGAAGTGACTCTAGGATCCTCAGTACTTGTTTAAAAATAAATAAATTTGAAAGATATTAATTGTTATAGAAAATATTTAGAATATACTTCAAAAATCTATCAAAGTTTCCCCGTTTTGCTGTACCAATAACTTCTTAAAAGATCCTGCAATTACCCTGAAGCTGATGAAACCACCTTAAATTTTTCGAAGCTTGCCCGAAGCCCGAAATTCTAAAGAACTTTCCTTACCATCTCGCAGTCTGAAACTTCTTCAGAATCCTCCGTATTTCCTTTCAATCATCAGAACTTTTTCAAAGTTCCTATAATTTGTGTTGACCGCCCTGGAGTTCTCTTATCTTTCCTGTAGTTCTTACTACTCTTCTGATGATGTTCCTGGAATAGCCCTTAAATTATTAAAACTTCGCGACAATTGATGCACTACCGTGATTTTTTCTTCGTGTGAAGTTTCCGACATTTTCCTTGCTCTCTAAACTTCCTAGTTTTCTGTAGACTGTCATTATGTTTTGGATCGTTATTTTCCTGAATTTAATAAAACTGCCCTAAAGTACTCTGAATTCACCGGAAGCTCTCGGAATTTCCCTGAAGTTCCCATGTTTTTCCTGATAAACATGAAACTGCACTGAAACTGTAGGAACTACCCGAAGTTACGTAACTTTCCTTAAGATCTTTAAACTCAACTGAAGTTTTTGTAATGGAAGCTCCTAAAGTTCCTAGAATTTTCCTGAATTTAATAGAACTGCTCTGAAGCTCTTCAATATTCACTGGAGTTCTCAAAATTTCCTGAAATCTATGGAACTACTCTGAAGCTATGGGAACCTAGCTTAAAGATCTCAAAACTTCCATGTTGTTCTGAACGTTATTGACGAACTTGATGTTTTAGGAATTTCCTTTAAACTCTTAGAATTTCCATAAAATCCATAGATCTTTCTGAAGGTTCTCGCAATTTTTCTGATGTTATTGGAACTAACATAGTTTTTTTTTTTTCAAAAGCTCTTGGAGCTTCATTTAAGATCCCGCAATTTTTCTAGCGTTTATGGGACTCTAAACTTCTTTGAAGTCATCTGTAAAGTTCCTGCAACTATCATGAAGTTAATGAAACGCATTCAAAGTGTTTTTATGTTACTTCATACGCGAAGTTAACGATTTTCAGAGTTGGTTGGAAATGCTAACATGAAGCTTTAGTGTGATGATTTATTAGCTAGAGAATGATCTTTAGAAGAGAGAGTTAGAGTACGGCAGTATGAAAATTGAATAGAAGTTGAAAATGAGCGAAGGGCCATTATGCGACAGTTTTTTAAGATCGACGCACATTTTTGCCTAACCCGTACGATGTACGCGGAGACTTGAAGTACTTGGTGCTTGGAGCAACACAATAGTTGGGTAAAGAAGAACTGCATTATAACACACCATCGACTGGAAATGCTCTCGCAACGTGGGGCTTTAGGTAGTGATGAAAACGTCGCTAGAACTATTCCACAGCCGCAGTCAGTTTATGAGCAAAAAGAGGGACGCACATTTTTGCCTGTGGACTTGGAGACATACTTCAAGTCCCCGCGTACATCGTACGGGTTAGGCAAAAATGTGCGTCTATCTTGAAAAACTGTCGCATTAATGGCCCTTCGCTCATTTTCAACTTCTATTCAATTTTCATACTGCCGTACTCTAACGAAACTATCCACCTACCCTCTTCTAAAGATCATTCTCTAGCTAATAAATCATCACACTAAAGCTTCATGTTAGCATTTCCAACCAACTCTGACGCATCTGAAGTTTTTTGAACTTCCCTCAAATTTTCACAATTTTTCGGATATTTATGGAACTTCCATGAAATTCTCACAACTTTCCCGAAACTCCCTGAATTTTCAAAAGATCTGAACGTACCTGAAGTTTCTTGAAGGTCTTGTAAAGATCTTTGAATTTTCTTGAAGTTAATGCAACTATCGTGAAGTTCTATGATCTTCATCCAAGTTCACGAAAATTTCCAAAAGTTTATAGAACTGAACTGAATTCCTAGAAACAAACCCTTAAAGAACTTTAATCGTCCTCAAAGTTCTGGACTTTACTGTAGCTCTTGGAACTTTCCTGAAGTCTTCGAAACCATGCCAGCAATTCTGATCTTCCATACGATAGTCATGCCTTAAGCATCGTTTCAATATCAGCCCATTCCAACGCACCCTTCTACATTTGGTGATCTGACTGATTCATTGAGGAATCTTGGGCTACATAATGAAAATTATAATACAGGTCTGAGACTATAGTGACGTCCATGTCTCGAAGACGATCTCGGTTGTGCTTCGTTAGAATTGTCACCTTCAGCACAATTGGAGCGATCACCGTGTGATAGGGTAGAGAACTACTTCGGTCTAATCGCCCATTTTGGGCCTATCGAGCAGAAAACTTCAAATTAATCCATGATTCCAGAGTTAACAAAGTCAATTATGCGTTTGTTACGATACATTAGTTAATAAGCTACGGAACGAAGTCAATGAGAACGCGTGATATGAAGGTTTGCACCCATTATTCCCAAAAACAAAAGAAGCGCTCCGACCGAATCAATTTTTATCTTCATCCGATAGACCGAAGTGAAGAAACAGTATTAGACTTTTGACAAAATCTCAACGATTGATTTCTCTTTTTCAAATCTTAAGGTACGTACGGAAAGGTAAATTAATTTGGAAGCCATTAGTAATAATAACATTTCGTTTGGTGCTAAACTGCGCTAGATTAAGAAATATTAAGTGCAGGTTGTGCTTAATAGGCCGGAAATGGGGTAGTTAACCCTATATACGAACCGTCGTTTTCCACCGAAGTCTAGCATACTGCGGTATACTCGAGAAGCCTTGGAGATGCGTTCCGCTACAGCCTTGCGCCGGTTCTAGGAGCTTGTCTGGAAAATTCCCAAATATCGCATCTTGGTTACCACTCGTATACAATAAGGACGAAATGTGGCTGTTACTTCTGGGTCTCTCATCAGTACCTGTGTATCGTCCACGTTCAATTCCAGTCCAAACGCCTAGGGGGTCACAGTGACAAAATTTGTATGGGTCTTATCATTTTTAGTTAGACAAAGTCTTCACGCCCACACAGGTTCGTTTGGATCTTAGAGGACATTTCAGACATTTATTTCCAGTAACTAATCCACATCCTTTCACAGGTGCTGCCGATGGTGTAATGCATCTGTTCACCCCTAGGTGGGAATCGATTTTGGAACCTGTCGTGTGGCTCGAGGCCGGCACGCAGATCTTCTTTTCGCTGGGCCTCGCCTTTGGAGGACTGATCGCTTTCAGCTCGTACAATCCAGCGAATAACAACTGCTACCGAGACGCTCTGGTGGTTTCGTTTACCAATTGTAGCACATCTATGTTCGCTGGGGTCGTCGTATTCTCCGTCATCGGTTTCAAGGTAAGTGACTTTGCACACCGCGAGGTCTCTGTCTGAGATCATCAAAATGAACCACTATTGTTTTTCACTACCCAGGCTACTTCAATCTTCGATTCGTGTGTAGAAGAACGCGATGCACTGCTGGCGGCGAACAAAACGACAAATCTACCGGTTTGCAATCTGCAGAAGGAGCTCGAAAATGTAAACACAAACCGTCTACCTCTTGTAGCCCCGTTGTTGTTGTTCAATGTTAATTGTGGACATGTGTATGTGTTTTACCCGGCGGAGTTTCCCGTCCGGTTTACTGTCAAGACTTGCTATATATATGTACATTTGTAATACCCACACACGCTGTGTAGTCTTCCGTTGCATGTAGTCGTAGCCGTAGATCGTTGTTCATAAGAATCCTGCTTGAACCAGAACATCCTACTCTTAATAATCGAATCCCACATTTCGTAGAGCGCTTCCGGAACGGGATTGGCATTCATCATTTTCACGGAAGCGATCAACCAGTTTCCGGCGGCACAGTTTTGGGCGGTGCTATTCTTCATGATGTTGTTCACGTTGGGAATCGACTCGCAGTTCGGAACCCTCGAAGGTGTCACCACGTCACTGGTGGATATGAAGCTGTTTCCCAACCTTCCAAAAGAAGTCATCACCGGGGTGAGTGAAGAACTTACTTGTACGAATTTTGAATTCAGTGAACTGACGTTTTTTGTCTGCCTTGTATAGGGTCTATGCCTGTCGTGTAGTATTCTATCGATGTGTTTCGCCAACGGATCAGGAAGCTACATTTTCCAGTTGATGGACAGCTTCGCGGGAAACTACACTCTGCTGATAATCGCATTCTTCGAGTGCATTGGCGTTAGCTACATCTATGGAATTAAAAGGTTATCGCCGTCTCGTGGCTGTCTGAAATTGTGGAATTTTAATTAACTGCTTCGGTAATTTCAGGTTTGCCGATGATATCGAACTGATGACCGGTTCGCGACCGGGCCTCTACTGGATGCTCTGTTGGAAGTACATTTCACCGATTGCCATGTTGACTATTCTGATAGCCTCTTTCATCGAGTTGGCTTCCGAGGGCAGTAGCTATCCGGGATGGAATGCCCTGACTGGTAATACCGATAATCTCGAATGGCCCCACTGGTGCATCGTGGTGGCGATACTTTTGGTTAGCGTGTCCATTTTGTGGATCCCGGGAGTGGCCATCTGTCGGTGGGTATTTTTTTGCGCGTGGAAATCAAACCGGTGCTTCTGATGTTGCCCTTTGTTTTTAGGTTATGCGGTATCAATATTATTGAGGATTCGGAGCCGGCGTGGTTCCCGACGGCCGAGCTGCGGGACGTGCACGGAATTGTGCCGCACGAAGCAACGGACATTGAGATATCATTGTTTTGCATACGACCGGACGGATCGGAAGGTTTGTGCTGTCCGACTTATGGAACGCGGGAGCAACCGCTGGACGAGGAAGAAGAGTAAGAGTAAGTAGACGGAAAAGTGGCACTGTTGCCGCAGTAGACAATAAGCGATATCCAGGTTTTGGGGGAACGAGTTTAGCTGGGTAGCAGACGACGGCGAAGAAAATTGACAATAGTTAGTTAGAAGGACTAGTAGATTAGCACAGAGCGGTTGAAAACATTCCGAGCGAACATATTCAAATTATACACCATAACGATAGGGGTTCCAAAGGCGAGCTTCAGTGCGTTGAGTGGGTAAAGAAATGTGAAATTTTCTGTTCATGGTTTAAAAAGACTTGCATTTTGGTGTATCGGAACGACCGGAGCTTAAATCTATCATTTCCACTGAAAGATTGCACCTGATTTTGATTGAAATGTTGATGAAATGATAATTGGGTGAATTGACAAACACATAGGGGGAGGAGGGGCATAGTAAACAGGTGAAGCATAGTCAGCATCCCGAAGTTTTGCCCTGGATCTCTAGCTGCACGAAACAAATCAACTGGTAGTAGGTTCAATATCATTATTATATTGATCCTACCACCAACCAATTTGTTCCGAACGGCCGGAAGTCCAAGCTGGTGCACGGGATGCTCAGTATGGCCTACCTGTTCACTATGCCCCTCTTACCCCTAACGCTTAACGTAAAGATCTCATTTATTGTAACCAATCCTCAGAATTCCTTGGGAAAATTTCTCACAGTATAGGATTTATCGTAGTTGCTACTCCGTTTCTGATCAGAACAAGAGGAATTGCAAAGAGAACCACATAGATGGCGCTTGGAATTAGCTTATCCATTTTCAATGTGCAAGCAAGTTCACCAATTCATTCTATTATACATCAGCACCAGTGCCGGTCACGTCGATACGGTATTTTGGAAAGGAGAAGGATGATTAGTATGACAACCGTTGTTATAGAGAGATCGTGTTTACCTCTGTGTCTCTACGATTTTCATTAGATTGAAAGTTGTGTTAGTGTAGGACAGGTTACTTTTGATCTGGATTCACTGTGGTAAGTGATGCGATTCGGATCCGTAAGGTAAAGCAGATTTGTTCATACACATCTAATGGGGATAGAGAATTAGGAATAGCGACAAATATAAGGATAGGGATGGGCCTTGGATTGAACTCCCGATCTTCTGCTTAAGATGGTTCTGAAGTGACTATTATCGGGTTTATCTTAAGCTAATCTGAAGGAATTTCAGGGAGAATTCTAAAGGAATGGATTAATCCTTTGACAAACTTAACAAACAAACTTAATCCTTGCACTACCCCCAATAATCACCTTCATCTGAAAATCTATTACATGTTAATCAATCAATCAATCAATCAATCAAAGATAATTCTGATGAGAACTCCAAGTTTTTTTTTAACTTTAATAGGGAGATTTTAAGTTTTTTGCTAGTTCATCTCAGAAGAGAACTCCAAGGGAATATCGATAACAATTCCGTTGGAGTCTACTTATAAACATAGCTAACCAAAAACCCTAAAGCTGGGGCAAGTCAATTGATCAAGTCAGTTGAATTCAACTGACTTGAACGCGAATTGAACGTGTAAACCATGCCATTCAGCTGACTTGATGAACTCACTTGAATTGAAAAAAAGTTGAACCAGGTTCAACTTTTCAAGCCAATTGAATTCAACTGAGTTGATCATTTGACTTGCCTAGTCTAAACCCAGCTTAAGAGAATTAATAGGAATTTTGAGGAGATTCCAAGCAATTTTCGGAAGGGTTCCTACAAGGATAATTCAAGGAATATGTTGGGCATATTTTTGAGGAAATTCTGAGGAAACTGGCCTTCCATTGGTTGTATCTCTTCGCATTGGACCGTGCATCTAGGGGAATGTTGATGTTGTTGTGGTGTGGGACTCCTCGACGAAATCCTTCCAGGTTCCCCTTAAAGAATCATAGACCATTGATGTGATTCTTTCGTAATCCCAGATGCAATCCTCTCAAAATCCTTGACGTGATTCTATCAGAATCCTCGACCGGGGTTTCTCTTACAATCCTACACGAAGTTCACTCAGAATCCTTCCAAAATATCTAACTCGGTACTTTCAACGAATCCTAGGCGGAATTTTCTCATTTCTCTCAGAATCATAAATGGAATAATGGAATGGATTCGCCTCAAATCCCCGTCAGAATTCTTTCAGAATTCTCTCTGCATTCTTGAAGCGCTTCGTTCAGAATCTTCGACGGGGAATTATCTTAGAAATCTAAATGGGATTTTCTAAGAATCCAACCTGGATTTTTTTCAGAATCCTCGTCGAAATCCTTAAAGAATCCCCACCGGGATTCTCTGAACCAATTCTAGACGAAATTTTCTCAGACCTTCTTCTTCTTCTTCTTCTTCTTCTTCTTCTTCTTCTTCTTCGTTTTTCAAGCTTATTGCATATCCCATTTAAGCTTATTGCGTGCTCTCAACTTAGTGTTCTAGATGCACTTTCACAGTTATTAATTGAGAGCTTTCGATGCCTGTACCATTTTTGCATTGATATAATTGTGTGGCAAGTCCAATCATAATTCTATGCCCAGGGAAGTCGAGAAATTTTCCAACCCGAAAAATTCCTAGACCGGACCGGGAATTGAACCCAGCCACCTCCAGCATGGTCTTGCTTTATAGCTGCGCCTTTACCGACTGAGCTAAGCGAGGCCCAGAGCCCTTGATGTGATTCTTCAGAATCCTACGCGAATCCTATCTCAAAATTACAGATGAGATTCTCTCAGCATAATCTGTTCATAAGCCCAGATATAATTATATCAAAACCATACACGTGATTCGATATCACCGATGGAATTCCCTTAGAGTCATAAACATATCTCTTTCAGAAGCCTCGACGGTGGTTACTCTGCACTTCTCTCAGAATCACAAATGGGCTGGTTTCAGAATTCCCGTCAAAATGATTCACGTCGGTTGCCGCATTGATTCGGTTAGCGGAATCGGCCGTGAGATCCGTGCCAGTCAGAGCTTCGCCAAGATTAAGTGAAGGCGTTCCATCCAACCAAGGTGAAGATGGCATATCGGAAAAAAATGGTCAGTGGGCTCGAGCAGCAGACCGAATGAAACATTGCCCCACCCATCGAACCCTGCGTTCAAGGTGATCCAAAGGGAGGAAGGATGTTTAGGCAGTTTTGCGGATGAATAAGCTTGTTGTTCGAGTTGTTTGCGAGCAGGCGACCATGCTTGGTTCCGGTTCAGTGGCAGGAATACGTGTCGATTGAGATCGGGTTCCTCCAAAGGGAGGTGGAGGCTTTTCATCCACGGTGTTGTATGCGCTGGATACGATCACGCGACTACTGGTGTCGTTGATTTCGTCGGCCGTGGATTCTGTATTCAACGGTTCACTGCGTCCATAATGAAACAGAGCCCCACCAGGGGCAAGCAGAGGCGTTCCGCCCACCCAGGGCAGGGATGTCCCAACGGCGGTAGAATCAGTGTTTGCTTTCGGCGTGCATGTGGTGCTGATTGGCTCCGAGCTCCGATACGATGATCAGGATCGTTGTTGCATGAGACAGGGCCCCACTACGGACAGGCGGAGGCATTCCACCCATCCGAGACAGGGATGTCCCAGCAACGGTAGAAGAATTGTTAAACGACGTGTTCGACGGCTTGCATCCCTCGGAGTCGTTCTGGCAATTGGCGTAACATCCGTTGTCCGTCCCGATCTTGTTGTATCTTCATTCCCTCGAAGTCATCAGGGGAATAGGTGTTACCACCCTTGTCCGTCTTCCAGTTCCCGCTCGGTACCGGGGGATTGCCGTCAGTTCCGGGGCCTCGGTGGCCGGGGGCTATCACTGGGTTTTTCTTAGGGTTCTTCGTCGACGAGCTACGGGGCTGGTCCAGCAGTTCCGGTGGGGCATAAAGTCCGCACTGCAGGTGCCACGTATACTCGGCGCACAGTGGTCTTCAATCGCTCTGTTCGGTTGCGGAGCGGTGTCCGAGGATTCTGGTGGAGTTTTTGCAGTTTTTGCTTACGTGGTGATGTTGGTGTATTAGCCATTAGAATTGTCCGGGAGAATGGCGTGGGTCATGTTACCATTGGAAACAGGTAAGTTACTACTTCTGTTTCTCCTTCGGCTCATGATTCTGGTGAGATCTTCAATGGCTGCTGGATTTTGGGAACTTGAGCGGGGTGGTCGGCGTGAGGGGTCTAGGTCCAAGATCGGATGTTTATTTGTCTTGGGTGTGATGAGGGTTCGCAGAGGGGTATCAGGCTGTCTTGCTGCATTGGTTGCTAATTTCGACAATATGATCGTTTGCGTTGTTCGAATTGTTGGGGCAGGAGGGAGCTGATGCAGTTTCGGTGATGGGTGCTGTAGTGGCATCTAAAAGAGGCAAGATGCTTGGTTGACTGACTGCAAGTCTCGGAGAGGTTAGAGTGGAAACTTGCAATGAAGCTTCAACATTCAGTAGTCTTCGACCATCGAGGCTTTAATCGACTTATGGAATGTATCTTGCATTGCCAACATCAGCTTGTTATTTTGTTCCATCTGCTGTTGGAACATCGCGGTAAAATCAGTTTGCCCGGAATTGGGGAATGAGGCAGTCGGTTGATTAATTAGGGTCGGTTCACCTTTCATCTGCAGGGCGACTTGCAGTTGCAGGATGGTGCGATCTCGCTAATTGGTTAACCTGGTTGGCTAATTCCTCAATTTTGTCGTTATTCTCAGCGAATTTATTTTCTAAGCTAGCAGAGGTGACTCCAGTGAAAATTCTTACACCGTTATTTTGTTCATAGAGTCCCGGTCATCTTTCAACTTCTGTATAGAGTTTTCCCGTTCCCGTACATAATTCGGACAAGAGCGGTCGGAGAGAGCATGCTGGTTGGTTTGGCATCCGGCGCAGTATTTGTCATTTGGACACGATCTATCCTCAGGGATCGGATGATCTCCGAAACATTTCCTACATATCGGCTTACTCGCCTTGTATCGCATCATAGTGTGCCCAAAAGCCCAGTAGCTAAAGCATTGCATTGACGCTGAGTAATACGGACGAGTTCGGCATCGTAGGTAACCAAAGTCCACGCACTCAGGTGCACAAGTGATGATTAAAGTCGTCGTGTTGACTCTACCACCACCTTCACGCCTTTTGTACCTTGGTCCTTTTCAAGTCTTCGACAATGTCTTGCTTTGAGTATCGGATAACGTCCCTGCAGCTTACGGCGAAACTTGTGGAGTTCAATACTGGGTGCGGGATGACTTCCACCTTTGTTCCGTACCTTGAGTTCTTGCAGTTTGATGCACTGCTGCGCACTTCGTACTATAAGGGCATAGGAACGACCCTGACCCTCAGGATAAGCACCTTCTATTCTCCCGCATAGGAATTCTTGAATCGACTTACGGCAGCGGTTTTCCGTCAGCTCCGCCTACACTAGATTCTGATACCGCCATGATTCCCCTCTGGATTCATATAGTTCGGTAACGTTGGTCCTCGTTGATTCCGAAAACTATCACCAAGATCGGGTTGGTCCCACCATGACGGTGGGTCACCAGGGTTCTCCGTCATTACGGCGACCTCACCCCAGTTCCCTAGAAGAAGAAACCCAGAATTACCAGTTGCTTGTTAACAGGAAATATCACAAACCACCGCCAACAAGAACTCCAAACCGCAAACGACGAGACGCAATGAAATTCTAATGAGAGTTTCAAGAAAATTCCAAGAGTTTCTTTTAAAGGCATTTTGAGACGAATCTCAAAAGAAATCTGAGGAACATTCTCATGGAATTCTGAGTTGATACAAAATTTAAAAGCAAATTTGGGAAACAAATTAATGCTACTTCACGAAAGAATGTGAAGCATACAAAGCTACGTACAGTGAATTTCTTGAGCGTTTTGGATGAAATTTTCAGGATTTTGCAGAAGGACACAGGACTTTACCTGAT